AATTACCTCAAACAGTGTACTTTTTATTGGCCATAACCTCATAAATTCCATTTAAGCTATCTCAGGGGTATTTTTATCTTTCTCTTCATAGAAGAGTCTTAGAATATTATTTCCACTTTTCGGGATTTTCTTGGAATTTTCTGTACACTCTTCCATTTTTGCCCTTGCTGGTCATAACTTTTTAAATTTACGGTTTTACCCCTGCTTAAGCCTAACCTCACAGAACCATCTCTTTGAGGCTTCTAAATTAATCTTTGGCCTGTATCTAGCCTCTTTTCTCTCTCTGGGCCTTCGAGACTTTACTGGAGTCTTTGACCTTGATTATACTGAAACCCTGAAAAACTTTACTTTGCAGTTTAGTCCCTGAAACTGCTTTGACTTTCTTTCTCATTTTTGGGACTTCTGCTCAAAAAGGGTTTGGTAGCCTATCCAATTCAGGCTACTTTTGATACCTCTAGGTTCAAAAGTCTGGATGTTACAGCCGAGCTTGTAGGTTGGTGGTTTGGCTCGTCTAACTTGCCGCTTTTGTTTACATAAATAATATGTTGTTATATTTAAAAATTTCTTTCATAGTCTACATTTCAACTTTCATATTACATATCTGAAAAAAAAATATTAAAATATATAAGCATACTATGTTTACAAGAAAAATTATCTAATTGAACTATAAAATAATATTATTACAGAAAAAAGTTTTTTTTAAAGAAAAACATGAGGAGTGAACTTTGAAAAAAATAGATAGATGCATGCCTAATATCTTTTTATGAGATATTCTTTGTATCAAACATTGTATGAAATTATTACTTGATGCGTGGATGTTGAATGTTAATTATGTAAGATATTTGTAATGTATTGTTTTATATTTGTATTGAGTATTTTGAGTGTGGCTAAAGATGAGTTAGACTTGTGATCACTTTTGAAATTTTAGATTATTATTTGTTAATTTAAAAATTTAAATAAAAATAAGGTTTATAAATTAAAAATTTTAAAAAGCTGCCAGCCCAACAACTCACCATGTGCGGGTTAGTGTTGGCATTTCGCCAGCTCATAAAAATGCAGGCTACTTCAACCTTCACCCCATAACCCATAGTTTGTGGTAGAGCCGGTAATATGGGTTGAACCTGCGGGTCCAACCCGTCAACCCGCCATTTAGGGTTGGCCAAAAGCCAACCCGCCATTACTTTAAAAAAATAACCCACACTGCCATAACTCGAACCCACAGCGGGTTGGCCTGCCAACTCACTGGTTAACCCACCTATTTTTTTAAAAAAAAAAATAATGAAGGCAAAAGTAAAGCAAACTTTCACTTCAAACTCCATTGCCATTAGAAATAATCAGATAAAGAGGGTTATTCAATGTTGCTCATTGGTTTCATTGGAAAAAATGTGTGAACTTGTGTATTATCATGTTGGGAAATTAGACAATCATATACTATTTGTATTTTGTGTTGTAATTTTTATTTGGATGTTTGTGATATTTTATCATTTCTAGTGTTTTTATTTTGATTATATATAACTACTAACATTTAAAAAAAAAAGAAAAATAAAAAATAAAGAAAAGGCAAGAAAAAAAATTCTAGCGGGTTGGCCAACCCACTTTAGTGGGTTAAGGTTGGCAAAATACTGACCTGCCAGAAAACGGGCCTTTTGAGCCCACACGTGTAACCTAGGGCCCGTCACGGCCAACCTGCAACCTGTGGGTTGGCCTATTTTACCAACCCTGGTTTGTGGCGAGTTGGCCCATGTTCCCAGTTTATGTGGTTGTTGCCCTTTCATTTTTTCTTTTTAAACTTGTTGTGCTGTGACTTGCTTTAGCTAGTCTATATAATTTTATTTTAATTCACATTAAACATTTTTTCAGTATTATTACAGTTAATATTATTATAGAAGTATTGGCAAAGCATCTTCTTATCGTTAACTTCAATATCATATAAATAATTTCAGTTCTGAACATTTCTATATTTTATTTTGTTTTTATTATCTTAGTGAAGAACTTTATAATATTAGAATTTTATTTTATTTTTCACATATATTTAAGGGAAAAAGACAGAAAAATGCACCTTTAACTTCAGAAGCCCAAAAACGTCCGTCGAATTTCACAAATCCCGTTTTGGTACCATGAGACCAAATTGGAATTATTTTCTTAGATGAAAAGACCAAACTACCCTCAGTGTTATTTTGAACACAAGTCGGGGAATAGAGGCCGTTTTTCCACTCTCTCATTCCCAATCCCTCTTGAAGCCGACGGAGCGAAGAAGAGAGAAGAGAGGAGGAAGCTACTACCGGCATCGAAGAAGAGAGAAGAGAAGAAGGAAGAGCGCTAGGTGGTCACCGTCGAAGAAGAGAAAGGAAAAGAACGACGGAACGGCTACATTGCGGCAATCGATCGAAGGCGAGGAAGAGAGAAGAGGAGGAATTTGCGGTGAGACAGAGGTATGTTTGTTAACATTCCTTCCTTCTCTGTGTTTGTTGAAGTTATATATTTGATACTGCTACTTTTAAGATCTCGATCGAATGTGTGTGAGAGGGAGTGGGCAGTTTCTGGAGATGAAAATAACAAAGTGAATGTGCAGAAAGTGGAGGACCCAACTAGGTTGCTTGGATTTCACCACAGGATGACTGATATACTTTCAGGAGTGTGGACCACATACACAGCCCACACCCCCGTACCTTTTCTTTTCTTGTTAATGATTTCACTGTTTCATCACTACTTTATCTTTGCCTTTTTGTTCTTTTCATTCACATTTACCACTTCTCCAACCCAGCCACCAAGCTATTTCTGTCAGCTTAATTAACATCTACGACACTGTTATCTCTATGGACAATAACCCAAAACTCGTTCTTTTTGGCCATAGATAGTTGAGATGCAATAGGTACATTAAGAAGCAACCGCAAATATTGTCTTTAATCTATTAGCCTAAGTGCATATTAGTATAATTGTATAGTTTTATTTAAGGTATGAATCGCAGAGACGACATGATGGTGTGGGGGAGTGTGTATAAGGGTGTAGAGGGGGCCAAACTTAAAATAATTATTTGAAGAAAAGGTGAATGTACACACTCTCATGTAAATATATGTATGTTGTTAATCCCTACACTGGAGTTGTAAAATTCTAACGGAAGTTGAAGAAAAGGGTTTGTGTTTTCTTGAAAATGCTGTTGTGAATAGCCATACTGAAGTTGTAAAAATATATATAGATGTTGTTAATCCGTACACAAGGGTTGTAAAATTCTAACCAAAGTTGGAAAAAGGGGTTTATGTTTTCTTCAAAATGCTGATGTGAATAGGCATACTGAAGTCGTAAATTTATATATAGATGTTGTTAGTACATACACTGGAGTTGTAAAATACTAACCCCGAAGTGGGGAAAAGGGGTTTATGTTTTCTTCAAAATGCTGTTGCGAATAACGATACTGAAGTTGTAAATATATATATGTTGTTAATCCCTACACTAGAGTTGTAAAGTTCTAACCGAAGTCGGAAAAAGGGGTTTGTTTTCTTCAAAATGCTGTTGTGAATAGTCATACTGAAGTTGTGAATATGTATATAGATGTTGTTAATCCATACACTGGAGTTGTAAAGTTCTAACCGAAGTTGGAAAAAGGGGTCTCTGTTTTCTTCAAAATGCTGTTGTGAATAGCCATACTGAAGTTGTAAATATGTATATAGATGTTGTTAATACCTACACCGGAGTTGTAAAATAGTAACCCCGAAGTTGGAAAAAGGGGTCTGTGTTTTCTTCAAAATGCTATTGTGAATAGCCATACTGAAGTTGTAAATACTTATATAGATGTTGTTAATCCCTACACTGGAGTTGTTAAGTTCTAACCGAAGTCGAAAAAAGGGGTTTGTTTTCTTCAAAATGCTGTTGTGAATAGTCATACTGAAGTTGTGAATATGTATATAGATGTTGTTAATCCATACACTTGAGTTGTAAAGTTCTAACCAAAGTTGGAAAAAGGGGTCTCTGTTTTCTTCAAAATGCTGTTGTGAATAGCCATACTGAAGTTGTAAATATGTATATAGATGTTGTTAATACCTACACTGGAGTTGTAAAATAGTAACCCCGAAGTTGGAAAAAGGGGTTTGTGTTTTCTTCAAAATGCTGTTGTGAATAGCCATACTGAAGTTGTAAATACTTATATAGATGTTGTTAATCCCTACACTGGAGTTGTTAAGTTCTAACCGAAGTCGAAAAAAGGGGTTTGTTTTCTTCAAAATGCTGTTGTGGATAGCCATACCGAAATTATAAATAACTATATAGATGTTGTTAATCACAAGTTCCTAACTTTTATTATATTTTTAATATTCCTCGTGTGAATGAAAGGCTGTGAATTGTGTTGTTTTGGAAAAGTACGTTATAACTCCACTTTTAAGCTTGTAACATTTTGCCTAATGCTTTTTTAGCTTATAACGCCACCCTCAATAATTGTTTTCTGACATGCTTGTTTTAATGTGTAATGTGCAGAAAAAATGGTGTTGGAGGGAGAGACATCAACTTCAAAAGGGCCAAGGAATGGGTATGTCTTATTTAGAGAAGAATTTGCTGAAGGGAAAAAAATCAAGGGTGCAGTAGATAGAACTAACAAGGTGAAAGAGGCATGGGCAAGGCTCTCTATTAAGGAGAAGAAAATATATAGTGAAAGGGCCAAACAAATGAGGCCGGAGAAGAAGAAGAGTAAGAGAGTATGGAAAATGTTCACCCGTTGCTCTGTTTGTCAATTCATATCACTGGCGGAATTTGTTAAGAGTGATGAAAGTTTAAGACAAAGGATAGAGAACATAGGATTCTCTAAGTTGTTGGATGTGGAAATTGACAGACTCCCACGTGAGTTAATTGTAGCTTTCATTCAATCGTACGATCCAGCAACACATCAATTCTGATTAAGGGGGAGGACAGAAGAAGTTGAGGCAAATGATGTGGGAACATTGCTTGGTGTGCCCCATACTGGGCAAGAGGTAAAAGGAGATGTTGATGAAAATCATGACACATATAAGAAGATGAGGAGAAAGTATTTAAATGTTGTTTATAGCAAGATATTAGCTGACATAAAAAGTAGGACGGATGATGAGCATTTCGAACTATTATTTATGTTGGTCACACTTGGCACATTTCTAGCTCCAACTTCAAGTGCAAAAGTTGGTGAGAAGTTATTAAAGGTGGTATGTTCAACTATGAATGGATATAAACGGTATGATTGGGCGACGTACATCATGAATGACCTCTACAAGGAAATGGAAGATTATGTGAATTTGTTCATGAAGGAGAGGGATCCGTGCTGCACTGTGGGTGGCTGCTTGTACTTCTTGGTGGTATGTTTATAGCAAAACATGTTGTTTAATGTTAATGTAACTGTTTAATTCAATTGGATAATACGGTGTGTTCTATGATTGTGGTTGCAGCTATATTTGGGTGAGAAATTCCCATTGTCAAAAGCTATTAACCATGACCCAACAAATGCTATTGCATATTGGACGGATCAGAGAATAAAGGAATTGGTCAACAAAGAGTCAAAGAGTAACATAGGCCTATTGTACAAAGGGAAGTTTACAAAAGTGGTCAAAGATACAATAAGTGTTGCTCATCTATGACCGGTATGTTTGTAGTTTTGTATGTATAAACTTCATTAGTATGTAAAGAGTTTAACTGTTTAACAAATGTGTTAGCAGGAATTGAAGGAAGTGCATCGAAGGATGATGGATGCACTTGAGGAAAGCCATAAAAGGCTTAGTAACCAATTTGCAGAGGAGCTTATGAAGGTGCAGCTCCATCTACAGGGGATGCCAAGTTCAAATCTGAGGGACCTTGTTGACAACACATGCGATGAGGTAGTGATTCTTCCATCTGATGGTAAAGGTGAAGAGGGAGGTAGTGACAAAGGTTATAGTGATGGAGATATTGCTGAAGGTGAAGCCCATGATTAGGAAAGAGGTAGTGATGAAGGTGATGAGGATGGAGAGGAAAGAGACAGTGAGAAAGGTGATGATGAAGGAGATAAAGGGGTGAAGTCATCAGATAAAGAGACTAACAAGGGAGAAGACCGAAGGCCATCAAAGAGAACAATCATTCCAAGTCGTCAAGTAACTTCTTCATGGATTTCCATGTTAAAGCCTGTTAAGAGGAGAAAGAGAGTGATAACTGAGAAAGACAAGTTTTTCAACATTGTCTCTCGTATGTGTTCACGGGAGGAGGGTCAGACTAAGATATGCCGTGCATGGAACATTGAAAGCAGGAATTTTTTTTCATCTTATTTTGTTATTGCTGTTTTACTTACATATGATATATACATTGCAGGATTATGGTTACAATGTGTGATGAACAAATTGATCGGGATCAATTGCGCACCATAGGTGGAATCGAAAGAGTGAGTAGCCCTCTGATAACAATGGTCGATAGGGCATTAATGGCAGAGGCAGGTGAGGGAGGACAAGTGAGACGACACATTTTTGATGCTGAGTTCATGGTGAGCCCTGTGGTATCTACGGTTTGTTTGACAATTACGGGTTGTGATGATTAAACTAATATGTTGTTTTGTAGATGAAAATGCTTGGTAACCCTTCACAGTGGCGAGCATCAGAGAATAAACGTGCTATTTTGCCACAGCATATCGGGTACAACCTAGCTGACTGTGATTTAATATTTGGACCCGCAAGTGTTGAGTCTCACTGGTTTTGCTTTGTGTTGGAGCCAACAACAATGCATTTTTATGTCCTGGACTCCATGAGGCTACCTAATGATATGCCAAAGAAGACCAAGAAGAAGGATTCATTGGAAGAAAAAAGGATGTTTCATCTTTATGCATGTGTAAGGACTAAACTAATGTAGCTGTGTATCACAAGTGCCCAATGTTTCCACCTTTTTAGCTCATATTTTGGATTTCTGTTGTCGGTTTGCAGAGAGATAACTTTTATGATATAATTGCATTAGTCAGACCTCAACATGTTGGGAAGAAGCCTAAGACTGATATTATTTTTGCACCTGTTCCACAACAGAACAACATGTATGTTGTGTTGACTGTTGACATTGTTTTCTAGTTTAAGATGTGAATTGCAGAAGCAGTCATACTAACTTAAATGTTTTATTTCCCATTGGTTGTATAGGAGACATTGTGGTGTTCATGTGTTGATCTGGCTAAGCAAATGGGTCCCGGATGTGACATTTGACTTCAATGAGGTATGAAAGTTGTCTGTAATTAATGATTAATTATTTGCCAGGTATGGTGGACATTAACATGTGCACTTGTCTTATATGCAGAATCATGTAGCTGAGTTTAGACGTGAGCTAATGTGGTGGCTAGTTAATCATCCGCTAAATACAAGTCATGAAGAAGCCTTAACTCTCCTCTCAGAACAGCAGAACAAGACAACCACCAAAAGACGACGTTTGTCATAGTACTTAGTAGGAGGTTCCTTGTACATGTCTATGTGACACTCTGATGTAGTTCCATGTTATTTAACTTTGGAGAAGATTTATGTACATGGCAGAAGGACTGATTTGAAGATTAGTAATTGTGCCTTGTTAGCAATGGGTTCATACCATTTGCGACATTAGTAGTCAAACTTTATGGTAAATTTTACAACTCCAATATAAGTATTAACAGTATCATTATATATGTTTCCAACTTGTGCATTGGTTTTCACAATAGCATCCAGAAGATGAAAACAAGTACCCCTTTTTACAACTTCGGTGAAGCTTTTAACAACTGAAGTATAGGTTTTTCACAACTCATGTATACTAGTTAGCTAATGGGTCCCTTGTATGCCCGCACCCAAGTGGGAAACGTGTTTAAGATCTGGGGTAAATTTTACAACTCCAGTATATGGATTGACAACATTATTATACGTGTTTACAACTTCAGTATAGGTATTCACAACAGCTTTCTAAAGATGAAAACAAGTACCCCCTTTTACAACTTCGGTGAAGCTTTTAACAACTTAAGTATAAGTTTTTCACAACTCATGTATACCCGTTACCTACCTGGTTCCTTGCATGCTTGTACCCTCGTTGGAAACGTGTTTAAGATCAGGGAGAAATTTTACAACTCTAGTGTATGGCTTAACAACATTATTTAAAGTTTTTACAACTTTAGTATCGGTATTCACAACAGCTTCTTGAAGATGGGGAAAAAAACCCCTTTCACAACTTCGGTTAAGCTTTTAACAACGTCAGTATAAGGTTATCACAACGTAGGTATACCTGTTAACCACCTGGTTTACAGGCGTGCTTACACCCTCTTTAGAAACGTGTTCACAGATTAAACCCTCTTCAATATGCGTTCCCAACAGCATTTCCAATAATGACTAAACCCACCATATTACAACTTTAGTAAACCATATAACAACCCCTAAATAACGTTTCAACAACTCGAGTAAAAGTTTAACAACTGTCATAAAAGAAAATGATCAGTAATACCCATATTTTAACTCAGTTCAAACGAAGTTCATATACGAAGATCATACTTAAAAACATAAAACATAAGGCAACAATATCAAACATGAATAATAAGGGGACTCATCTTGCAACTTCTATCATTGTTAACAACACAGTTAAAGGAAATAACAACTTCAATATAGGTATTTTCCTAAAACCAGATCCTTCCTGACAGTACTTACAATCAGTGACAAGCTACTATTAATATTTCATCCCCACTTAATGTTTTCTTGTCATTGACATCAAAATACACATTTCACTGACTATGTGTAGCCTACTATGTCGACTTATCACATGGCACAACCCTTCATCCAAAAAAATATGAAGAGTTGCAAAATATTTACAAGCCACAACAAAAAATAACCTTTACAAAATAAACCCACACGTGGACCACCAATTTTAACTTGGGTTTGGATTTCTGCATGTTCGTTTACTGTGCCTAGCTTCATGACACTGTCCACAGTGGTAAATCTTCCTGTTTTGGAATTGGGATTCCCGCCTCCTAATTCTTGGCCTTCCCGAAGGTTTACTAGTTGTAGGTGGGTATAGCCACACTTGGTTTCCTATATTTTGCAGCATATAATCATCAGGATTAGGCCTGTCAATTGTCACTACTAGAATCATGGTGTTCCCATAAATCTTCTCTTGGGATGTTATTTTATAACAGTCCTCCACAAAATCATACACATTTGCATGAACCACCCTTATTGCAGCACAAGCGTGTGGACACGTTCATGCAACACAAGTGCATTCATGTGACTGAACATTGACATATAAGGCTCCACGCGAAGTATGCACACAGACCCTCCCACCTCCATAAGGTTCACCATGCATATAAATCGATCTAGCCACATTTTCTATCACTTTTCCATTAATGTTTGGACCCACACCATTTCTCCAGTTCCTCATTGCCACACTTGCTGCGAACATCTTCCTTGCAACCTTCTCACGATGTTCATGAATAAGTTGGGCAACATTATGCCGCCTTTCCTTTACAATCCAAGCATTGAATGACTCAGCTGTTGGAAATTGTGCCCTAGGGGCCAATCATTATGTTATGAACATTGTTGATTTATGAATTTATTAATTACATTATCATATTATTTGCATGTTTACTGTGATGATTATCCTTGGATAACTCATGATTTATCCTAAATGTCCTTGGTCGGTCATCTATGTGGAAAAGAGATGAAATAAGACTAGTATGACTTTAAAGATATATATAGAGATATAAATTAAAGTCATAGGCACATGTAAGAGTACAAGGTGTTGGACTGACACGCTATGAGAGAGCTGCATGGGTTAAGTCATAAGCTTCTCTTATATACAAACCATGTCACTATGCCCTTTGACCTGAGATCATCATGGATTCCTACATGAGAAACGCTCAGCTTTGACCTAGTCAAAAGTCACTTTTGACCGAGTGATCATAAAGACTATGTTCAAGCTTAGTGGTTTTTCATGTGGAGGAATGTGAATGGTCAAGATGGAATTTGTCCCTCACATTCGTAGAGAGATATTACTGGGCCCCTCGATGAGTGAGTCTGAGAAATGTATGGCCATACTATAATGGAAAGATAGTTCCATTTCTATACTCAGACTACTCAGGGATCGAGAAAGTAACGGTCATGAATAGGAGGATGACGTTCTCCATGCCTCATCCATGACCAAAATGTTGTGTGACAAAAAGGGACGTGATATGGTTGTATGAAAGGTTACATCGTTCAACGATCCTCATATGATTTGGGTAGTCGTGATGCCTTGCTAGAGACCGCTTATGACTTGTGAGTCATTATAGTTAATGGTCCACTGCCAACTTCATATGGGCCTACAGGGTCGCACACAAAATAGCCCAATACGAGTTATGATGTCCAGATTCATTGAATCTAAGATATGTCCAGATTCAATGAATAATGTAGGGTGGACGTGTATATATATATATATAAATTCGTATATATATACATATTATATAAATATAAGAGATATTAATTGTTAGATTTAATTTATAATGATAAATTAGATCTATGTAAATTAATTCTGTCATATCTTTATTTTGAATTAAATAAATAGGTGAATTAAATCTGTGAGACGGATTTAATATAAACCGTATTTATTTAATTGTTCTCTTATCTGATTAGGCAATATTTGATATTGTATTAATTTTGGAATTAATTTAGGATTAATTTCGAAATTAAATATCATTCATAATACCTATAGCATCCTATATATTTGATATTAGGAGCTAGGGTTTTGAGTGAGAGAGTGAAAACACTTGCAGATAAGAGATGGCCAAAAATAGAGAAGGAGGACGGACTCTTTGAAAAACCCTAGATGGACAAAGAGGCGCTAGCGCGTCGTTCGTGACTGGAGAGCTATTCGTGTGGATACCGGTAGAGGAAGCCGACCGGAGTTGTCGACTTCGAATGACAAAGGAGGCGAGCAGAGGCATCCTGAACGACGGAATCACCGAGCCACCAAGAAATCGAACATCGAAGGTAATGCTTCTTACTACTTGACTTAAACACGATCGGTAGATCCGGGCAAGGGATTGAAATTTTAAATTTAGCTTCCGTTGTGCGTTTTTCAATTCCCTTCATCAGCAATGTTCGTTGTTATGTTATCCCACCATTTATATGCAAACTTGCTCATTGCCCACTTATGAATATCACCATGATTGTTAAGCCACTGAAGTAACTCAGGACTGAAATTTCCTATCCTTGTCATTGCCTTATCAAACTTAACGTTAACCCTTGCATATGTAATGTCATAAGTAACTTTAATCTAACTTCCTTACTAATACCACTAGTTCTCCTCCTACCTCTGTATAATTTATTCATTTCAGAGTTGAAATTTTCCTTCACGTGCCTATAACAGTATGCATGACGGTCACCTCCAAATATTACTCCAACAGCTCCTATTATGGCATTGTGACGATCTGACACAATAGTTAATTGGATTGCACCAGCTATCTGTTTTATCATGTTTAAGAACCATGCCCACTCCTCATAAGTCTCTCCTTTCACAATAGCATATGCGAATGGTAACAATTCATTGTCCGCATCATATGCTGAGGCTGATAGCAGTGTTCCCCTATATGGTCCACTCAAATGTGTTCTATCTATGTACAGTATATGTCTTGCCCCAAACAAAAAACCCTCTATGCAACAACCATATGCTATGAAAACACGCTCAAATATATTGTTAACAGTTGCTACCCATTCAGCTACCATCTTCTCATCGGTTTCCTTCAATCGTTGACATATCCATGGTATCAACATGTATGACTGTTCAGGCCTGATTTAGCCCAATTATTCTATGTTATTTCATATCATTTTAAGGGTATTTATCATAGATTTTGGCTCCTTTTGATGATAATTGTGCTTAATTTAGATTAAGAGTCCTTGCTTTGAGTTAGTGTCTTTTTGAGGTTAAAATTGTCATAATTGGTTATTAATTGTATTCAGTTGATTTCTAGGACAATTGATGCTTCAAATTGTTGCTTTTTATTGTAGGACAATTAAGAATTGGAGCCAAGATCAAAGACCAAAGGATGACACAACACAAGATCAGAGTATCAACACTAATAGAGTTCGCTGCGGTGAAGATTCTCTTCACCGCGGCGCCAAATTGAAATCTCCCCAGTAGTCTCTCGGGCATGCTTCGCTGCGGCGAACTCTTCGTATCAGCAACGCCAGATCCGGATCAGAACGCGAAAATGGAGCTTCTAATCATATGATCCGACCCAGATGGACCCCTAAAACCCTTAGAAACCCTATTTTCGACAATACACTCCATTCCATCTCCTACAACACCTCTATTCTCCCATCCTCTTACCTCTCCACCTCCATCTTCTTCCCCATCCATTTCCTTCATCTTTCATTCACTCCATCTCAATTCCTTCCACTCCCAGCTACCATGGCCGACGGATTCACTTCAGTTGGAGCTTTTCTTGAAGCTATGGAGAGCTAGGGTTTATCAACTCTTGAAGAATGGTGGTGTGGCTTGAGTTCCTAAGCTTCAAAGGGGAGTTTAGTTTCAATTTGCAATTTTTAGCTATGATTTATGGCTTTCTAGGTCTAGGAGTTGTAATTTCTTAGTTAGGAACTTGGGACTGATACTGTAATTATTGGTTAATGATTACATTTGTAATTTGGATTGATTGATGTTGAACTTTGTGCTTAAATATATGTAGTTGCATATATGCTTATTGTAACTCTCATGATTCTCTCTTATCTTGCATAGTTGTGTTTGGGTACTGAGTTGATTGTGTGTTTCATTAAGCCAATTGCATGATCATTTCAAAATTACACATTAGGGAAGCTTAACAAAGTTTTCATTAATGAGTTCATTAATGTAAGCTTTGGACTCAATGAGTTATTGAGGTTGTTATTAAGAAAACCTAATAATTTGTGAAACTCCCAATATTTTAAGTGAACTATGATTGCCATCAAAGCCATTTTCAAGAGATTTCCTATCATTCATTTCCATTCCATCATTATTATCTTAAAACACCAAAAATATAGTATCTTAGGTTTGTTTTCATTGCATTTAGTTTAGGCACCATTCATTTAAGTCTTAAAAACCCAAAACCCCATTTCATTGCATTGCATGGCATTTAGTCTAGCTTAGGTAATTAATAAAGGCTCCCAAAAGTGAAACGACCCGAGTTTGCACTATACTGCATAGCTTGGATTAAATTTTGATTGAGAACCCCAAGGCGAACGATAACTAAGGCTCTCTTTCAAGGCCTCCCTTGTATTTCCTCTAATGCTTTTTCCTTAGCCCTATATGCTTGCTTATATGTCAACTTCACACCATAATCCCTTGCTTAGGTCCTCCTTATTTCATTTGGACGCTTTTCAGTGTGATCCCTTACCTCATCAATGATAATTGATGATGTAAAGGCTGCTCTTCCACCATGTGTAACTTGCATAATCTCTTGGGCATTAAGCACATGTTCATTGCTGAGTCAAGTTACAACGAGGAAAGGACTTCTCTTCGCAGCTACTCTTGCTATTATCCGCCAAGGACAACCTTCAACTTTGCATTTCACATGCATACATTCCTCACAATTTTTGACATATTTGTACTCGAAGTTTTCTGCAATACTAAACTTATATACTGCCTTTCTGAATTCTATGGCATTTGCAAAAGTTTGCTTCTTTCCTAACAACAATTCCTTCCACTTCACAGCATTCATCTCGGGCATTGGTGTTGGTACAATTTCTACTGTACTTACTAGCCTCACATGACATCCCCCACCGCCTTCTCTTACACAGTCACCCCCATTTTCATCACAAACTGTTCCGTCCATATTATTCTCTCTACTTCACAAAAAACACATTTGTTGTGACAATCCCAAGTAGTTGTCAATGCTGCATGCATAATTACAACTTTTGTTTGGAAATTCACAACAACAATATAACAAATAACAACTGAAATAACCATAAAAAAACAAGTCTCACATTTGTGGATCATCCATTACTTCTAGTGTACTTTCCTTCAATGCTAGATACACATGTGCACTAGTGTCATTATACTGAAAAAGATGATCAACTTCACTATCATCAACCAAATCTACTAATGCCTTATCATCGAGCCTCACTGTATATTTCATGTCACAAATATTAACATCTATATCAAACCATTCCAATATCATTAACCTCAACTCTTCATATCTTATCACCTGTTTTATCGTTTTAACTCTCACACTCCCACCATTGTATCTCATTTCACCTTCAACATTATTAACAAAATTTCCACCAAGATGAAAAATCAATGCAAGTGTCTTCGAATATGTTGACCCAATATTGCAACTCATTCTGCATTATACCCTGCAACAAACAAGGAAAATATTTTATCACAATGTCATCTCTGTAAAAAGGATATTTCATAAACCCAACACAGCTACTTTCAAAGTTAACAATTTCAATATATCGTTTCACAACTCCACTTTAACTATTAACAACACCCTTCACAACCTCATTACTATGGATATTCAGCCTACTTATATACGTGATCATCGCAGCGCTTCTTTCAATTTCCCTCAGCTACCATCTGCTATCCCCAAAAACAGATCATTATAAACACTGTCCCAGACTAAGCTAACTCTATCCCTCACTAACCGACTCATACGTTCCAATATCTAACCATTCCCACAAGTTAAAAACAACAACCAATACCTCCAGATGAATCAACTTACGATTGCTGCAGCATCGTCTCCCTCTTAAGCTGACAAAACTAACTTGGCCAGAACCCTAACCTTATCTAACAGTAATCAACTCATTTGTTCAGATTGATGACCATTCTCACACCTAAAAAAGGAAAAACCAACACCCCAATATGAAGAACGTATGCCTTACGTAATGCCGCCCCTTACCTCCTCTGAACCCTCAACGCCACATACAGAACGCAGGACCACCAAAATGAAGAAAACAGACCGTAACAGTCATGCATGGAGGATGAAACAGCCATATGATTTTAGAAAAACACTTACCTTTTCGAACCACCACCTTCTCGTCACCTTCGAGCTGCTGGAACGCACACGTTTCTCTCCTTTCCTTCCCTCTTATCTTCCTTCAGTGTGCGGCTTATTGTGGTGCCCATGTGGTGCCCACGTTTTGTAATGGGTGAGGGTAGTTTCGTCTTTTCGTCTAAGAAAATAATCCTAATTTGGTCTCATGGTACCAAAACGGGATTTGTGAAATTCGACGGACGTTTTTGGGCTTCTGGAGTTAAAGGTGCATTTTTCTGTCTTTTTTCCTATATTTAATGTGCTGTCGTTGTTGTTGTTTTAATTCTTTTTCACATATTTGAAGAAAAAAAGCCATGGTTTTAATATTGCAAAGTAACGTTTCTACTTTCTATCAGCATCTAGTTTTTTTGAGTGAATTATTCTGAAATGTTTTGGAATTGCAAAAAAAAAAAAAAAAAAAAAGTCTCTGGACTTCTACCGCGGCCCCGAAAGCGGGCGAATCACGTTCCCGCCTTTGAGCATTTGCAATGAACAAGCAATATTGATGAAAATTCTGCGCCAAAACACACAAGATTTGTAGTATGAAATCCAAAGCCCTAATCTAATTGCAAGGCACACTCATGTCTTCATGGCAGATGCTATCCGACCACGACGGCAATTTCCAGTGGGAGAATTCCCATTTCAAACCAAATGCTGCTTCGATTGCTTCCAGCTCTCCTCTTCCTACCATGTCTGATGTTTTGCTTCAAGGTAATCCATCCTCATACCCACAAAACCTACCCATGTAATGTTGTACAATGTTCTTATGCAAGCCGATGTGTTGTCCACCACAGGATGTTCAGTCATTTCGGAGAACCGTAGTGAAGGAGTGAAGCGCACTCCCACGTTTCGAACTGGGCTAGGAAAACCGGTATCTGTCAATCAATCTTCCATTGCTAAAGCATCATCTGTTCTTGGTGAGGATGCTTACGCTGGGGCAGGTATCTCATCCTCAAAGTTCCCTTTTTATTAACTGTGGCTTTATCAACATTTGGCAGCTAGCTTTTTCCAAGGTAATACAATAATAACGTGCTAAGAGCTTATGCATAATCTCACACTTACCTCAATGATTTTTCATTTTTATTTTTATGATTTTCTCTCTGCAGTTTAATTATGGGAACAATTAAATTGATTTCTCGTTGGTTTATGTTTCCTTGAAGTAGAATATTACCCCCAAAAAAATATTTTAATGCTCAAAACATATCAACTCCAGGTACTTCTTTCTAAGCAGACAATAACATTTCTAAATCTATCTTCGAGTCCCTGAATGATTTGAATAACATTTACATTTTGACTAATAGTTGTGTTCCTTTTTGCGGTCTGGTCTGGACAACTCTTCTGCAGGGAAAGAGCTTGCAATGGATGATGATTGCCACTTCCCAAATTCTCTGTTTAAAACAGGCACCGGCAAAAGGGTCAATATATCTTCTAATGGTCTTGCTAGAGCCAAGACATTACTGGGACTCAAAGAAGATGCCACTGATTGTAATTCCCAAAGCCTTCAGCAAGCAACGAAATTGTGTGATATTGGTGAAGCATATGAACTGCAACACTCATCTCTGGCACAGTTAGATAAGGGTGTCAGCAGTCATGGGATGATGAAAGGGGGGTCTCGCTTAAGTCCATTGTCCTGTTCAAGTCCATCATCAATTAATAAGACTAAATCAATTGGTGGTACTGGTCTGGACAACTATTCTGCAGGGAAAGAGCTTGCAATGGATGATGATTGCCTCTTCTCAAATTCTGTGTTTAAAACAGGCTCTGGAAAAACGGTGAACATATCTTCTAATGGTCTTGCTAGAGCTAAGACGTTACTGGGACTCAAAGAAGATGCCAGTGATTGTAATTCCCAAAGCCTTTGGAAAACAACAAAATTGTGTGCTATTGACGAAGCATATGAACTGCAACGTTCATCTCAGTCAGAGTTAGATAAGGGTGTCAGCAGTTATGGGATGGTGAACATGGGGTCCCATTTAAGTCCATTGTCCTGTTTCAATCCATCATCAATTAATAACACTAACTCCGTTGGTGGTACTCATACAATAAAGAATTACCCTGAAAAAACCCCTGTTCGACCTGAAAAATATGGTTCTGCTTGCAAAGAAGGACCAGTTAAATTTTTCACTGCCGGTGGAAGATCTTTATCTGTTTCTAATGATGCACTTGAACGAGCCAGGAATCTTCTTGGTGACCCTGACCTGGGAGGTTTATTTGATGAAGGGGATGCAGGAAATGCAATCTTCTCGTTTTCAAAGGAGAGGCAATCTGATAGTGCTGCATCTTATGAGGAAAATGATCCTCATACTCCTTTGTACCATCATATAACGGCAAAGAGCAAGTATATGACTCAAAGTTTCACTTCCCCCATGAAATCTTCTGGTCCTACGGAATATTCATCCAAATTTCCAAGTGTAGGTTCCGGAAGTAACTTGATAACAAAGTTCAATGCTGTGGGAAAGGAAATTAATTGCATGCAAAGTAGCATCACTTGTCCGCAGACACCTTTACATGACAAAAACCAAGTGTCAGACAAAACTGTATCTACTTCTTCATTTAATGGTTTCCCTTCAAGGATGGATCCACTTGGAAAGTCAAGTCAGATCTCTGTTGAAATTTCAAATACCATGTCTACAGCACATGCAACCAATAGGCAACTTGTATGTGGAACACGGAGGCTAGGACCGCGTGTTAATGCTTCTACCTTTAAACAGCCCCGCAATACCAGATTTTCTGCTCCTTTGAAGCAGGATGTTCCAGTATCCCCTGATGGTAAATTTAATTGAAGGGTTTTAACTACTTCAGTATGTTTTTGATAGTTAAAAAGCTTTCTATTTATTTGAAGCACCTGGTTTCAGGTTCTCCTAAACTATCCTCCAGCAATTCTGGTTGCAAAAAGAAGGTTTCTACTCGATATCCTTTCCAAAATCTAAGAATGGACATCAGGGAATTTTTTCGAAGGCCCCTATCGGAGCAGAAAATGGTGAGTGTAATGGTCATAAATCAAAGGGCCAATGTGGATTTTATATTCTCTTAATTCCTTAGATTGTTCTTGTCCCTGATCCTGACATTGATTTGTGCACCACAATTCAGTTGGAGCATTTTCCCAACCAGCCAAGACAGGTGACATCTGGTAATGCGGAAAAGTATGTGCTTGATGATTGTTCTGGTGTCAGTACTATGGGGTCAGAAACTTTCTTCCATATATTGGCTCAGAGTGGAGCTTCCACACATTATGCTTCTAAAGAGTAAATTTCTTCTGTTCTAAATTTTTGGCTTTGGTTACTATTCAATTTGTAATGGAATTACCTTGCTATGTGATTCTGTGGCCTGTAAAAAATTTATCAATTTGCTAGCTGAGGGATGAGGGAAAACTATTTGCTACTTCATGCATTCATTTGTGTTCTATTTGGCTTTAAATTAAAAGATTCTTAACTTTATCCCGGGTTCTAAGTGCATTAGTTACACTCTAGTCCTTTTCTGGCATAACTGTGCATCTTCATTCTTCAACCCTCTAGGTGGGTCACAAATCATTACAAGTGGATTGTCTGGAAACTGGCATGTTATGAGAGATGCTACCCGGGCAGATCTGCTGGAAAATTTTTAACTACGTCAAATGTGCTTGAGGAATTGAAGTACAGGTGAGTAACTACTATAGCAAAATTTGTTTGATCTACAAAACCTTTGAAAACTCTTGGCTTGCAGATATGAGAGAGAAGTAAATTATGGCCAGCGGTCTATGATTAAGAAAATTCTGGAAGGGGATGCATCCTGTTCTTCAATGATGATTCTGTGCATTTCAGCCATTCACCCCAATCAAGGACCGAAAATTGAGGCCCCTTTCGAGAGGAAACTAGGGCCTGAGAGTAATGAGGGAATAAAACTTGAACTAACTGATGGATGGTAAGAAATCTCAATTTCATGCTTGTCTTCTTGAAATATATTTAAGGTTCCTTGGCATGCAGCAAGAGCTTTCTTTTCAGGTATTCTATAACTGCCATTTTGGATGTGCCGTTGTCTAAGAAGCTTGCTGCTGGAAAATTATTTGTGGGACAGAAATTACGGGTAATATGTTGGTCTGTATTATTTTATTTTCTTACCTTCTTTGATCATGAGACAAATAAATTTGCAGCGTTTTCTTTTTGGCACAGATCTGGGGAGCTGGATTATCTGGCTGGACTGGGCCAGTTTCACCGCTTGAGGTTCTTCAAGACTTGGGATTATAATTGAAGGTTCATGTATATTTCTCTTTTAACCTATGGTGTTTTTAATCGGACTGACTTCTAATTTCAGGTGTTGACATCAGTTTGTTTAGTGCTGCATATAAATGGAACATATAGAGTACATTGGGCAGAAAAGCTAGGATTGTGTAAGCATCCTATATTTAAGTGGATTTCAATCTTTTCAATTTACAAGAAAGCATGTATTTATTTTCGTCCATCTTATTCATTTAAGTCTAACACAACAGGTAAGCATGCTGGTCCACCTCTAGCATTCAGGTGCATAAAAGACAATGGTGGTGCAATCCCTCAAACTTTGGTTGGAGTTACCCGTATATATCCTTTTCTTTACAAAGAAAGGTAACTTCTGAATTTCTGATTTTTTTTTTTCCCTCCCACTTGAATGAATTGATATGTTTTCTTTTGTTCAAAACTAGACCTTAATTTATTGTGAACCAAGGTAACAAGTGCTTCCTCCATTAGGTTAAACAATGGAGAAACTGTTGTAAGATCAGAGAAGATGGAGGCTAACATGATAGAACTGTACAAGCAAAGGTAGGTAAATTCTTGTTCTCTTCCAATAGTGCTAATCTGTCTGGGATTATTTATTCATGAGAAGCATGGGTGCATGGATATGCTAGTTTAAGTGTCGTATTCATATCTGATTCTTATTAGATTTGAGTACTACAAGGATATGTGTGTGATGCAAGACACACGCACTTGTGCTAATATAAACAAAGATGGTTTAAGACATACTTGTGCTAATGCAAATAAAGATGGTTTAGGGGAAACGATAGAGAACAGAGGAGAGGGAAGGAGGAAGAGAACAGAATTTGAGGGGGAAATGAGAGAAACTGAGGGAGGAGGAAGAGATGACAAAGTTCAAAATATTCATTCATCAAAATATGATTACAACTAGAAGCTATTAGGCTATTTCTAAAAGAAGCTTTCTTTTCCTATGAAGAAAGCTCATCAACTTGCAAATAAACTTGTGTTAGGAGAGATTTCAAAAGAATAAGATGTTAGTCATGGGCTCATTCTCATTGGGCCTAATCCATAGATAACCCTAATTCATTATGATTGTTTATACTCTCTTGATTAGGATTATTTTCAGCCTTTTATTTAGGGATTTCAGATAAGATTATTTCTAGATTAGTTGTGATTAGATTTGATGTATTATTTGAGGGAGATTTTATGCGATCTGATCGCTCACTCTCCTCCTATATGTATTGGCTTCTATAGTGGAATAAACTCAGATTTTAGCATCCAAACATCATCCTGGTATCAAAGCAATAGTGATGTCTTTCAAGGACGCAATACTCAGTTCATCACGAGCCTTCGTTGCTGGCAACGATTCTTCGTAGAATCCATTGGCAGGTGTAGGAGGCTCATAAGCAATGGCTGAAATCGGAGGGAGCTCACAGTCTGGAGCATTAAACACAATAGGAATTATTCTAGCTTCCAATTCCTTCTCACAAACAATGATTACTATCTCCAATGGTCCAGGAATGTCCTAATGTTTATATGAGGACGCAACAAGGAGCATTACCTGAGATGGGACCCGAAACCGCCAGAACCTGAGGAATCAAGATACGTGACTTGGTGTGCAGAAGATAATATGGTCATGACATGGTTGACTCACTCCATGAATATTGAGATCAGTGAAAATTACCTCTTGGCTAACTTTGCTCGAGAAATATGGGACTCGGCCAAACGCACATTTTCTGCCAAAGATAATACTGCGGTACTCCTTCAAGTTAAATAGATGTTGCAGTCTCTTACTCAGGGGGAGAAGACGGTGACACAGTATTTTAGTGCACTAATGAAGTGATGGCAGCAGCTTGACTTATATGAGGTATATCATTGGGCCTGTCAATCTGACGAACTGAACTTAAGGAAGATAGTAGAAAGCGAACGGTGCTTTGATTTCCTCCTCAGCCTCAATGACACATTTGAAGATGTCAGAGGCCATATAATGGGCATGCAACCACTCCCATCCCTTCAAGATGTCTTCAATATGGTCAGGCATGAGGAAAGCCGTAAAGAGCTCATTCATACTACTTCTGGTTTTGGTACAAATACTACTCCTTTCTTCCCTTCCCTTTCCTTTACACCAGCAAGTAAAGGATCAGTTATGATTACATGGAGTAACCAAGGAGGTTATCAAAAAGGGAAGATTTCTTCCTTGAGATGTGATCATTGCAACAAGAATGGGCATACTCAAGATACCTACTAAAAAATTCATGGAAAACCAGCACACCTGAAGCAATGAACCAAAAGGGATGGGAAAGGACTACTTACAACAAGTTCTGACAGAGGGTCTCTAAGGATGGATGAACTCACGTTACTTAGACAAATTCTAGACAGATACTCTGGTAAGAAAAACAGTGAAAAACCTACTCCTTTTGTGATCTTAGCTCATTCAGTTACCATTCTTCTTGCTGCACTTAGAGCTATAACTGGGTCCAAAAACATATGGATTGTTGATTCAGGTGCTACAAACCATATCACTAGATTTCAAGAATTATTTTCTGAGTTTAAGTCATATTCTGAACACACTCGGGTTCAGGTTGCAAATAATACATATGCTAAGGTTATGGGATCAGGAACTATTATTATTTCGAACAATGTAGTGTTGGAAAATGTCCTTTATGTTCCAAAATACCCAGTGACTTATTATCTGTTAAGTGTGCAACTGATGATTTAAATTGCCTTGTTACTTTTAACAAGTTCCACTGTGATTTTCAGGATTTAACCTTGGGGAAGATGATTGGCAAAGCTAAGGAACATAATGGGCTATACTATCTTGAAGGACTTGCAACAACCAAGAGATACATGGCTGCTTCTATTTTTAAGTCTCCTAGTTTATCTCCTATGTTTCAAGAAGATTTTATGCTATGACATTTAGACTTGGATATCCTAGTTTTGATTATATGAAATGTTAGTTTCCAAATTCTATGAATAAAATAAACTTTTAATTTTATTGTGAAACTTGTTAACTTGCCAAGCAAATCTGAGCCTCTTACCCCTCTCATGCATAGACACCTATACAACCCTTTACTCTCATCCATAGTGATGTTTGGGGTTCTTCTTGGGTTGCATCAAACTTTAAGGCCAGATGGTTTGTGACTTTTATAGATGATTATACTTGCTTAACATGGCCTTTTTTGATGAAAGATAAATTTGAGGTGTTTTCCATCTTTAAAAATTTCTATACGTTTGTTCAAAACCAATTCCAAACTTCAATAAAGGTTTTTCAAAGTGATAATGGAAAGGAGTGTTAATTCCCAATTTATAACTTTTTTTTGCTGAAAAAGAGATTCATCATCAAACATCCTGTGCACACATACGCCAACAAAATGGGGTAGCCGAGTGCAAGAACAGGCACCTTTTAGAAGTAACTTGATCTCTTTTGCTTGGACACAGTGTACCAAATTCTTATTGGAGAGATGCTGTTTTTACAGCTGCATATCTGATCAATCGCATGCCATCAAAAACCTTAAAATTTCAAACCCCAATTCAAAAGTTTTTGGCAACCTACCCTTAATCTTGTTCATTCACTTCTTACATGTGTTTTCGGGTGTACTGTATTTGTGTTCATGGATAACAATGGAAAATTTGACACTAGATCAATCAACCCCTACTTAAAAGGGATATAAGTGTTATTCTCCTACCACAAAGCGAATGTATGTCAAATTTTTTGAAAGCCTACCTTTCTATCCCAAATTGTCCATTCAGGGGGGGAGAGGTAGTGAATAGCCAATCTGGATAGATCAAAGATCTGAACAGCAAACTATCAACCCTACTTATGGCACCCAAATATCACTAGATGTCACCTTTCTTGAGCCTAATACTGTAATCACCGAACTCACCTTAGAAATGTCCCTACTTGTACCTTAAACACTTGCTCCAGCTATAAAAACCAGCTCTTGTACATCAAACATCCTAGAAATCCAACCTGAGATCTCTCCTAGGCCTGCCTCTCCTCTTCTCAACCATACTAAACCACTCCTGGAGCTAAAAACAAGTGAGACACAAGAATGTCAAATGGGACAGACAACCACCAGTGAAGAACCCATTACTGTTCCAAGGCCAAGTCATGAATCCCCACCTGAGGTTAATCCAGAAGATTTGCAGTGGCCCATAGCTCTCAAAAAAGGGAAAAGAAGCTGTACACGATACCCAATAGGCAGGTATGTCTCTTATGACAAACTTATCCCCTAACTTAAGACCTTTGTTGTCAATATAGACAAGACAGAAATCCCACAAACATTTAATGAGGCAATAGCTGATCATAATTGGAAACTAGCAATTAAGGAAGAACTAAGGGCCTTGGTTAAAGATGGAACTTGGGAAATTGTTGACTTACCTCGGGGGAAGTCTGTTGTAGGAAGTAAGTGGGTGTTCACTAAAAAAATACAATCCAGATGGGAGCACTAGCAAGTACAAAGCTAGACTAGTAGCAAAAGGATTTACTCAAACATATGGTATAGATTACCAAGAAACTTTTGCACCAATGGCCCAAATTCAACACAATAAATGTTTCACTCTCCCTTGCCGTAAACTTGGATTGGCAATTGCATCAATTAGACATAAAAAACACTTTTCTAAATGGTGATCTAGAAGATGAAGTATACATGGAAATTCTTCTTGGGCTTAGAAAATCAGAGAATAATGGAAAATGTGCAGACTACATAAATCTCTGTATCGGCTTAAACAATCACCAAGAGCATGGTTTGGGAGGTTTATGTGTGTAGTCACTGGATTTGGTTACCAACAGTGCTAAATAGATCATACACTATTTGTCAAACACATTGGTTGCAAGATAATAGTTTTAATTGTTTATGTAGATGACATCATGGTGACAAGAAATAATGATGAGGAAATTGTTGCATTGGAAAGAAAATTGACTTTAGAATTTGAAGTAAAGGATCTTGGGAGCTTAAGGTACCTCTTAGGATTGGAGGTCGCTAGATCCAAAAAGGGCATTAGTGTGTCTTAGAGAAAATATACACTAGATCTTCTCAAGGAAACTAGGATGTTAGGTGCAAAACCAGCTGAAACCTTGATGGAATGGAATTGCAGGCTAGAAGTAAAACTAGATGGAAAGGCTATGAATAAAGAAAGGTACCAGAAGTTAGATGGAAAATTAATACCTATCCCACACAAGGGCAAACATATCATTTGCAGTTGGAGTTGTAAGCCAATTTGCAAGTCATCCTCAAAAGGAGCATATGGAAGCTGTTGAGTGAATTCTTAGGTATCTTAAGAAAACTTCAAGCAAGGGTGTCTTCTTCCCTAAGGGAGATCAAAAAAGGGTCAAGATATATACAGATGCAAACAAAAGAGCACCTGATATAGAAGAGGAAAGAAACATAGAGGTATATATTGATGCAGATTGGGCAGGGGCAGTCAATGATAGACGTTCCACCCTTGGTTATTGCACATTTGTATGGGGAAACCTTGTCACTTGTAGGAGTAAGAAACAGCTAGTAGTGTCAAGAAGCTTAGTTGAATTCGAGTTTAGAGCATTGGCTTTGGGAATTTGTGAAGGAATTTGGATTGTTCACCTACTTCGAGAATTAGGCATTGAAGTAATTGCATTAGTTCAGATGTGGTGCGATAGTTTGGCAGCTCTCAAGTTCGCTAATAATCCTATCCAACATGATCGAATGAAACATGTTGAAATTGACCACCACTTTATCAAAGAAAAAATTGAAGCTAAGGTAGTTGATCTGGCTTACATCTCTACAGGGGGACAAATTGCTGATGTGATGACCAAACCCTCGGTGAAGGCCAAATTCGAAGAACTCACAAGCAAGCTGGGAATGATCAATATCTATTCGTCAGTTTGAGGGGGAGTACTAGCAGTAGGCTCATACTCATTGGGCCTAATCTATAGATAACCCTAATTCATTATGACTGTTTATACTCTCTTAATTAGGATTATTTTCATCGTTTTATTTAGGGATTTCAGATAAGGGTATTTCCAAATTTGTTGTGATTAGATTTGATGTGTTATTTGAGAGAGATCTTATGTGATCTGATCACTCACTCTCCTCCTATATGTATTGACTTCTATAGTGGAATAAGCTCAGATTTTAGCCTCCAAACATCATCATAAGACAATTTATAAGCATGGCTAAACGAACTCTTGATCTAAATTTTATCCCTTCTATCGTCTTGTGATTTAAATTTTTCTTGGATATCATAAGCTTAAGAGGCTTGAATTTTACTCACTCTTTCATCTGTTTTGCAATTTTTTTTTTCAAAATTGAAATGCATATTTGACTTTAGTTCCATATTCATTTTCCGTTGTACCATCTCCATTGTACTAGGGGCCTAGGTATTTTTTTTAGGTGAAAGGCTAAGGTGGTGATTTATCATCTATAATGTTGATGTCATGACTCAGGACGACTATATTGACATGATAGCTTAAAATAATATTGAGGCCTAGGCTTGACTTAGCTTTCTTCACTCTAATAAGTGAAGTATATGTTGCCATTGAAAACTCAAGTGCATAGAGAAGCAAGGAAGTATCACTTGGATTGCACATACAGTTAAGAAGCCTTGAAAATTCTCCCGGTTAATTATCGGTTATAGCTGGTGAATTTACCAAGACATATGGTTGAAAATCAAGGAAGACCAATGATGCAACACCCATTCACACACTGCCTCTAATGGAAACAGCTGAGAATGTGGGAAAAAATTAGAAAACATGGGAGGAAGAGGGGGAAACTGAGCAGAAGATGGAAGTACTGCTGGTTTAGGTGATTTACCTTTGGATCCTGGTTATAGTCTATGTTAGGGAGTGTGAAAATTGCTTTTTGGGTTTTAGAAGCCTCTTTGTCATGTGTGAAGGGCTTATGGAACATTTTGTAAACTGATTATGGCAAGGAGAGCTTTGGAACATTTTGTATTTTGCTGTGGTGATTACTGTGAGATTGTATTAGGCGAATAGGGTTTTGGTCAGAGTCAGTGAGGCTCCCTTGTAACACTGATTTGGTTTCTTTTGTTATCAACATTAGAATCCTCAGGATTTCCCCTTTATTTACTCCCGTAGCCATTTATTTCTGCTACATCTATTTACTGATTCAGCATGTTATATCATTATCATTTGTGTATACCAGTTTTGTCGATATGACCTATAAATGGTAAACTTCTTGGTTAATATGTGAACTTTGTTTCTTTATGCTATTTTTCATCTCCTATATGGCTGCAGATGCACTGCTGTTATAGAAGGCATCACTTCCAATCTTCAGGAAGAAACACAAGGATTACAAATTTATGATGATGGCAGTGAAGGAGCTAAGATTTATAACATGCTGGAGACAGCTGAGGATCCAGAATTCCTAATGGCTGATATGAGTCCTGAGCAACTTAATTCTTTCGTTGCTTACAAGGCAAAACTAAAGGTGGGGTTATATTCTTGCTTTAAGAGAAGTCTGTGCGTGGAAAGAAATGTTGACTACTTATAGTTGGTCTTTAGGCAACCAAGCAATCAAACTTGGAGAAATCAGTTGAGAAAGCTTTGAAAGATGCTGGCTTGGGTAAAAGAGATGTCACGGAGTTTGTCAGAGTGAGGGTAGTTGGTTTAATACAAAAGAATAGAAATGACATGCCAAGAGAAGGCTTAATAACGATCTGGAACCCAACAGAGAACCAGGTGGACCACTTTTAATATCATTGCCTTGTATTTACATTTTCAGCATCTGTGTGGTTCTGGCTGTATGAATTCATTTCTCTTGGTGCCTGTTTTCTCTCATTTCTTCTATAACCTTACTGTGCACTTTTTTTTTTTTTTGGGTTTTTATAGTCAAACCTTACTCTGCATGTTAATTGCGGATTTCAGCAAAATTTCTCAGAAGTTTCTATGTGCTATCAATGTGACAGCGACAGGAGCTGGTGGAGGGTCAAGCATATTTAATTGCAGGTCTTGCACCATCACGTTCTGATTCAGATGTCCTCCACTTGCAGGCGAGAGGATCTTCTAACAAATGGTTGCCTTTGTCTTCCAGTGCCAGCGCAAATTTTAAGTAGGTATTTCCAATAAAAAGGATAAAAAATAAAATTTCTTAATAGGTCTCTATCTGGTTTTATTGACTTCATAAATCCAACGTAAGGTTTTTGGGTTGTAGGCCATTTTTCAACTGTCGCAAATCGATCTCACTGTCAAATTTGAGTGACATCCCTCTTTCCAGGTTATTTATATCCTCAATATTTTATATACATCTTTCTGCTCACAGTCAAAACGATAAGAGCGTCCTTGTTTACTTGTTTCATAGTGAGTTCGATACTGCTGCGTATATTGTACATGTGGGAGAGGTTTATACATCTGGACATCGAAAGACACAATGGATTTTTGTAATTGATGGATCTAAGTCCAGTGCAAAATTTGGACAGTCAATCAGTTTGCTTGCCATCTGCTTTTGCTCACAGTCCACAGAATATGAGTTGACTCCACCAATCAACCATAAGCTTGCTGGGTCTACGGTAAGTAATATATATTATTTGTTATTGTGATTATTGTCTGTTTTGGTGTACTAGAAGGTTTGAAATCTCCATACCCATACATCTTGACTGTTTTAGCTTCTCCAAGAAATTAGTCTCAAGTGAAATTGCATTACTTCCTAAGATGGATAAATCTGTACCCTCCATTATATGCAGGTTGGCTTCTGTAATCTCACTAAAAAAGAAAAGGACCACATTAACCATATCTGGGTTGCCGAAGCATCTGAAAATTCAACTTATCATTTGACTTTTGATTCCCCACGCTGCTCTCATCTCAGGCACTCTGCATCCTCAATCAAAAGATGGGCAAACAATTCTTGCTTTGTACATCACGAACCCTGCCATGTTGAGATATGTTCTGCTTGATTCAACTCCATTCAGTACTGATTTTCCTTTCCTTTTTTCTTTTTTTGGGTTATCCCATTTGCAGACTGTAGGTAAGGTCAAGGAAAGAGTTTTATCCGTAGTTGGCGATTGCAAACGCTAGCATATAAAGATGATGAACGAAAGAGGTAGTAAACTGATTTAGTGTCTGTATTATTGCTATCCTTTCTCGAATCTTATTAGTTACTTATTGAGAATTCTTTTAACGGCTATGCAATTGGCTGTTTAGTGTGAATTGTTTATATTTGGCTTTTGTTTATGCATTTTTGGATGAATTCCTTTGTATTCAATTCAAAGAATCATTTTTTTTTTTTTTGGGGGGGGGGTGTTCACGTTGTTTGACCAAGAGAAAAGAATTGAACCTGTTGGGAGAAAATTGCTGCTCGCTTTCTGGCATAAGGTGAGCTGCTGAAAGTAGGAGGGAAGAGTGGGGGAAGAAAAAGTAAGCTGTCCTCAAATATTTATCTTTTTAGCTAAATAATCCTTTTTTTATCAGAATATCAATTGAATAGAAGTCCTACATGACTTAAAAAAATAAATCTAAATTTCCAAACGACTAAAATGTATCTCATATTTTTGTGATCCAACTATTCCTTTCTCATTTCGACATCCATATAGGGGAACAAAAGTCCTGCGCTAGCTTTGGACAGAAGAACAAAGATCGTGTTTCCTTCTGAGACTTGTAGTGTTTCCCTCAGAGACTTGTAGTGAATTCCTTTGATTTTATTACTTATGTTTTCTGTGTGCTTAATATAAAAAATTCTCTAAATTGGGATTTCCTTTCTAATTTCAAGCATGTCTCTGATTTAGTTGGAGACCTTTGATTCCATTTTGGACAATCCATGAAAAAAGTCAAAGCCTTACCTTAAATACGGGTCCTCTGTTTTCTGCGTAGAATATATAGTTTGCTTATAATTTTCTGTCATAAAATTTTTCTATATAATCTCAGTTAAAGGACTATGGGTGAATGTATGTAGTGCAATGGAAGGTTGCAAAGGCTTCCCCTAGTCAGTGCAATTGCAAAGACATGACATATCTGTTATTTTCAAGTTTTTCAAGCTTAAGCTGTTTGACGTGCAGATCTTTTTGGCATCATTTACCTAAGCAAGTGGAATACAATGATGGTAGCGCTTTGTTTTTGACAAACGAAGGTAGGAAATTGTAAAGCATTTATACTTTTGTTCATGGGAAATTGATATTACAGTTGTAAAGCAGTTCTTTTTGTGGTTCAAGCTGGTTGCCCATGCACATGGCAAATGATTTATTTAGTTTATCCCTTAAATTAAAGAATGGTGTGTGTAAGTAGATTTTGTCTCTGAACAGCAAGATTCTTACACAATTTCTCAAGAAGTGCTGGCACTCAACTGGACTTTGTAAATGTCTGCTAAAATACTGAGTTAATGTATTTAAATTCTAGTTCATCTTTATGTTAGTTTTATTATTTTATGACTATAGCTTGTGCTTCTCCATGTCATGCGCGCAAAGCTTAAGTGTATCATGGGAACGATATATCCTTGCATGGTTTCCTTCACATGATACATCAAACTTTTGTGTTTCTTGGTGATTCCTAATTATCTCCTCATAAATATTGGTTGTAGTCTTGTTACACTCGCTTCCACCAATCCATCTGTATTTCTTTTGGTAACGCAACATCCAAATGATCATGTGCATAAAAAGCTTTTGATATTATAAGATAGATCGACATCCTCCATATATACACAATTTATTACTGAAATATGAGTCGTTAGGCGCCTAAGCCACATAACAAAATAGAAACATACGTCTTTTCTTTTTCCCTTTATAAAGCATATGCATATTTAACATGCCTTACCGTGTTGAATCTCATTAAACTTACATTTCAATTGCTGTCAAGCCTAAAGGCAAATGGCACATATTAGGCACTTTATTTGATTTCAGAGATTCTATCAGGGGATGCATGTCATTTTGCAGTGACCACTGCAACGAAAAAGTGATCAGAATTAAAATAACGCAAGGAAAAAAAATGTAATACTTTAAACTATTTATCACGTTTAAGGTCCTTTTTTCAGTGATGAATGTAACCAAAGCTTCACATTTCCATGAAAAAAAGTTTAAAATAAATGTCATACATATCATATCCTACATCACTTTTTGCTTTAGGCGAAATAATATTATTAAATTAATAAAGATTAGAAAACACAACGGAAATTAACAGATATAAGACAACATTTAAAGTTATTAAATTTGAAAACATTTAAAGTCATTAAATTTGAAACAAAATACAATACATATTTAAGGATCATATTACCTATTACCGGACATGGTAAACCTCTACATCTTACTAATTCGCCTTACCTCCGAATCCACTACGTTCACCCAACTATCCATTATTAAATATGACTAAAGTTTTATTAAAAGCTACTAAAATACAATTAAAGAAAAATAAGAATTTAAAAAAAAAATCAACTTTAACATCGATGCATAGAGTTAGGCGAAGCCAAAATCCTTCGTTTTCTTCCAAAACCGGGCAGTGTGCTAAAACCCGCCTTTGTCTCATGTTTTGGATCCTAAGGCATCCTTGTGGCAGCGGCAAAGTTAGCAAGCTCAGTCATCCGTGCAAGTATAAATCAGTCTTCACATAAAATAAGCATAGGATTAAACACATAATATCATTATTAAATACTTCAACTTGTTTTAGCAAACCGTGCTATATCACTAATAGCAGCTTGTCCCTTTTGTCAAAGCATTTATACTTTGTCGGTGTTTCCTGGGCTTCCTGCTTTTTATTTCCACTTGTTATGACTTTATTTTTCCTTTCCTCATATTATATTTTCAACAAATGATTAAAACTAAGTATTATTTGCAAAATTCTTTTAGGGATTTAGTCCTTTTTTTCCCTCCTTGATCCTAATCCATCTGATCTATGACTTCACTTATTAAATGTTTTCTCTCTGTCCTGACATTATTTCATGATGTGGGCTGCTTATTGTGCAAAAAGGACTGGACTTGGTGTACCCTTAAGTAGCTATAACAGATATCTCCTCCACACTATTGAAAGGTTTTTTTTTTTTTTTAAAAGGAACATGAAGATGCACACCTTTCAAAATGAAACATCAAATAGGGCAAATGGTGTAGTAGAGAAACCTGATCCCTCAGTCCAAATTGCAGTTATGTCATGTAAAAAGTGGACACCAACTTTGTGAGTGTGAGTTGGAGAAACTGCACATAGACAAAAATGGTAAATACAAATAGAGTCTAATGTGAAGACACAAGAAGTCTAATGTGAAGTCTAATATTAGAAAGTGCATAATGACAGTGGGAGCCAGTAGTTAATTTTTATTACATATGAAATAATTTAACTGCTCAATTACTGCTTGTATACCCCACCATCCCCTTCAATCCGCATTTTCTGTCATTTTCCTCTTACAGTACTAGTAAACTTTGCTACAATAAACTTCAATAACATCTTTAGGTATATGCAATTCTTTCAGTAGACAAATGGCTTTCTTCATAGCTAGAGTTTTAGCCATAATCACTGAATCTGTAATCACTTTCACCCCAAAGCCCTCATTTCTACAACTAACCCAATTACAGCAGCATTACTAGTGAAGGATCCATCAAAGTTGACCTTAACTACTCCTTTATCTAGGTACTCTAACCTTTATCTTCCCTAGCCCTTCTTTCATTAGCTTGTTCTTCCAGTATCTACCCCTTAGCTTCCCAAAACTCCCCTACCACCCTCCTTACTGCTACAATAACTCTAATAGGGTTAGGCTCTCTATGCTCAAAGACAGTAATATTCCCCTCCTACCAGATTAGCCCTACCATCCAAATGATCTAAGCCTTTTGATATTCATTAAGATCCTTTTTGTAAAAATGCATCAACTTTATCTTATACATAACCATGATAGAAAAGGAACATGCCAGTCATTGGCACCCTATCATGGTTAATAGACACAAGCTACACATACTACTAACCATGATAGAAAAACCATCTTGGGATGACTATCATGACTAGAAAAGAAAAAAAAATTCCATTCAAACACAATAGCCACATGTAAAACCATGTTAGAAAGAAACATCCTAGTCTAACATGGTTATAGAATTCCACTCCCCTAATTGATCCCACGTATATAACATGGTTATAGAATTCCACTCCCCTAACTGATCCCAGGTATATAACAAATATGTCTTCATCAATTGAATAACTAAATAAATTCCAACATTTCGTTAAATCAACATGGATCCACAAAACCAAGAAATCACAAGCAACCTAAGGGCCTTCGGCCCACTGTCAACACTCTAATCTAGATAAACAAGTCCAATAAACAATAAACAGAATATTGTCATGTTTATCATAGTGAAGGACACATAACCATAAGAAATAATAAACGTGCATTCCTGATGCATGGCAATATGCAAAAATACCATAAGACTAGACTACAAGGATACTATACTTGCAAACGTAGTTGTTACGCTTCTGGTGCCTTCCCCAGTGGTCTTGCAACTGCGTTATTTCCTAAAAAACTTAAAAATCATGAGATGAGCCAAACGTCTTAATAACTAAGTCTCTACTTACTACATATAGTAGGACTAGGAAAGCAAAACATATTAAGTTATAAATTATCATGCATATAGCCCATTGGTTAAGCAATGTCATATTAGTTTGGCCATAACATAACAAGTCAATTTAATTAAAACCCCAAATCTACCCTTATAACCTCCTTATTTACACTGAATGAATCCATGATTTGAGTTACTTGCTATGTGACTATCCACTCCAAAAGCTCACTATGCATGTGATATGGATCGGTTAAAGACCATAGAGCATACAATGGACCATGGGTTCCCCCTTGAAGGACTCCTGAGGTCTCAATCCCTCACAGAACGGTGGGATAATGCATAGGCCAACCATAGAGCTCTCTATGATGGCCAATGCCATATGGTACAAAAAGAAAATTCCATTATCAACCTCCTCCCATTAACCATAATACAATTAATTAGTTATCCACAATCAAAAAGGAAATTCTGGAATATACATGCATATATATAGAATCATATAACCATTGATCATAAGGAGTTCATTATTTTAACAAAATTGAAGACCCACAAGATGGGTTTGCAATAAATCAAAGATATGCATATACAATCATATTCATATAGTTCTCAATGTCATTTAGAAAGTACTCACCAGTTGCATATGAGTACACACTAAGCAGGGGAATTATTTTGAATAATTCTATATATTCTGTATTCTATTAGACTGATAGGTTCCATAGTTATATACACTATACAACATACAATAAAAGGAAATATAATAAAGCCCAATAAAGCTATTTACAACGGTAGGGAATCAAATAATAATGACCCAAATAATGAATTATAAATGGTAGAATTGTAAGGCTTGATTTTTGGGATTCTCATACTCCCCTTCAAATTGGATCATGGATGTCTATCATGTCCAACTTACGTACGAGGCCTTCAAATTTTTCTCTGTGTAGGCCCTTGGTGAACATATCTGTTGTTTGATTCCATGTTGGTACATATATGAGGGTGACTAATCCATCACCTATCTTTTCCTTGATAAAGTGCCTGTCTACTTCTACATGCTTTATTCTATCATGTTGAACTGGGTTGTGAGCTAGGCTTATAGCAGCCATACTATCTGTGTACAGTTTCATTAGAAACTCTATTTGTATTTTGAGTTCCTCAAATATTCTTGTTATCCAAATTAGTTTGCATATTCCTTGGGTGACTGCTGATAAGTCTCATTATTTGCATATATTTCTAGCCCTCAACTTATGCTTTTGCCATTTATATTTGCATACTTTGGGTATAATTAGCTTTCATTGTGTATAAGAGTTGGTGAAAGGAATTGTGAGGTTTTATAGGTGTTTTTGCATGTTTTTATATGATTTTTTATGTGTGTACTTTTGATCCCTATTTTGGTGTGAATTTTAGGGAGTCTCACTTGCATTTTTCGTCATTCTATCTGAGGCGCCATGGCGGATATGAGAAAGAGCTGCGGCGGATTTCGAAAGGCACTCTCGGTCACAAGCGCCACGGCGAATGATCAGAGGCGCCACGGCGGATCAAAGTTTACATGGAGCTTAGGATCACTAATTGAAACGACACTGTACAGGCTAGGCGCTGCGGCAGATGGACAGAGGCACCGCGGTGGATGACGAAAAACTTCAGATTTAAATACAGAGTCGCGCTAAAACGGGAACTAAGGAGATTTAGTTCTTCATTCTCTCCAGTCACCGATTTTCTTGTTCTCTCCGCCTTCTCTCAATTCTCTCTTCCATTTTCATCCAAATCCATCATTTTCCACCGATCATCTATGAATCTTTCATTGATTCTTGCTGTTTCTGCTCCAATTCAGAGTATGAGTAGCTAAACCTCCAAGTTCTCCTAGCAATGAAGCTGACCTGAGTTCATAGAGCTGAATAGGGAGTCGTTTCA